CTAGGACATCGCCATGTTAAATTCGCCAGTTGCTTGCATGCAAAAGAGATTTATCGCGAACCAGTACTGGGTCTAAATGTACTAGAAGCGCACCAGTTCAGAACTAGAGATTTTCCCCAAAGGGCACTGCAGAACAAAATGTGTATACGTATAGGACGTTTGAATGTATTTGTAACTTTGCGCTTGAAATTTACCCTGCAAAAAATGGGACTAATCCGGGATGACTCCGGGAGCAATCGCAAAGGAGCATGCGACTAATACCACTTTTGATCTCTTTATATGGAATGAACTGTTCGCTTTTGTTCCGACGGTGAATAACCCCAAAATACTCGGAGTAACATTCGACAGCCTGCTCTCCTTCTCTGCGCACTCAACCGCTATTGTAAATAAAGTACAGAGCCGCAACAAGGTCCTCAAGTCGCTAGCCGGCAGTACTTGGAGCAAAGACAAAGAAACGTTGCTGGCAACATACAAGGCAATAGGCCGGCCGGTTTTGAACTACGCAGCGCCAGTGTGGTCGCCAGGGACTAGTAGGACGCAGTGGACGAAGCTACAGACGGTACAAAATACAGCACTTAGGACAGCGACGGGATGCCTCTTGATGTCGCCTGAACACCACCTGCACGGCGAGGCGCAAATGCTCCCTGTAAGGGAGCATAATATAATGCTCTGCAAGCAGTTCCTGATCGGGAGCCACAGAAGTGGCCACCCAAGCAGACAGCTGCTTGCAGAGGAGCCCTCGCCTAGGCACGTCAGGAGGCATCTATATGAACTGACGGACGAAGTCCAGAGGTTCATTAAGCAACCTCTGGACCCGACAGCTTACAGACAGGCCCTGAACGGCATTCACAGGGACTCAGTCTCGAGTTATGTAGACTCTAGACCTGTGAATGCCGTTTTAGGCATACCACCCCCGGACATCGACGAGACGGAGCTTCATCTGCCTCGGGAGACACGCACAACACTCGCTCAACTTCGCTCCGGCTACTGCAGCAGGTTGAACTCCTACTTGAGTAGGTTGAATCAGGATGTGCCGAATGAGTGCCCGGCATGCGGAGAGAACCCACACGACTCGAAACATCTCTTCGCATGCCCGGAAAACCCGACAACCCTAACGGCCTTGTCCCTGTGGACAAACCCCACAGAAGCTGCACGCTTCCTAGGGTTGCCGTTAGTGGAACTTGACGACAACGACTGAGATACCAACCGATCTGGGCGGGGTTGTTGTAGCCGCTACAACAACAACAACAAC